AGACAAGCAATTCTGGAGCCCCACTTGGAGTCATTGCCAGAGAAGACACTGATCCATGAGACCCAAAACTTCTCACACTACCGGTATCTGACAAATCGTACATGGAGTCAGAGCTCTGCGACAGTATAAACAACAATGTTAGCTCCCTGCATAAGCAGGTATGTTTGTTTGTTTTTTCTAAGTTACATGACGATTTGCTGGAATATTGACCTGGATTTTTTTATTAAGTGTTTCTGTTAATTTTCGCAATGTCTAGCCACCCTTGTCTCTAATAGATTACTTTCCTTATCTTAGTATCTTTTCTATCCTACCATTAGTTTGCTCGTAATAAAATTGATTCAAACTAACGATACTTTTCTGCTTTAAAAGAAAGTGGATTATGCTCTCGGCAAGAGCAAAACACTGCAAGCCAATCGCACAGGACACCTACTGAAAGATTCTCAGCTGGGGAGCTTTCTTACAAGATTGCATGCTTCAGAAACGAAGCTTCTCCCACACTTTGGGTAATGATGCATTGCTGTGCAACCTTGCACGACTCTTTTTGCCGAATCTTGCATTTACAGTAACATAATACAGAGAAGATACGAGATACACAGCAAACTTTTCAGCTTGCCCGAAAACTAATTTCAAAGTCGCCTTAGAAATGAACTACTTTAATTTTACATTGTATAGCCTGTAATGAAATTCTTTTTAACACTGATATGAAAGATTTGAAACAATAAATAGGTTGAAAGTTGTGGCGCGTTTCGAATCTGTTACAAGACAACGACGTTCGGGGAAGGCTTTTTGTATATGCCCACGTTCCGGCTCAGAAAGTGACATGTGCTAATGTAATCGCCTTGTCGACAACAATGAACAAAAGATTTAAAGAACATGCCAGCTGATCATTGGTTACACTTGATTGAATCGTGACTGATTTGCATATATAGTTTCCTTCTTTCTTCAGTATTCTGATCGACCCACGTTACAGCTAGTGCCGAGAAACGTTCAAATAAATTATTCTGACGACAACTTTACACCAAAATAAAGCAGTAAACTATATACTTTTGGAAAACTACGATTCTTTTGATTTTTTTTTTTTACGAAGTATACCATGAAGCGGTATACTTCGTAAAAAAAATCAAAAGCCAACAATGACAACCGAAGCAATCTCTCAGAGAAATTGCCTCACGAAATAAACATATAATCCTTTTCACTTGACTTTTTTGTATAACTTTCAGATGAGTGTCAGTTTTGTTTTACCTTCGAGTAACTAAACGGTGACAGAAAAAGGACTACTCAATGTTTTCATCCACAAATTTTACCTAACAACTTCAGTCGACACAAAAGTGCACGACGTCCGGGTAAACAAACAGTACAACATATAAAGTATGTTAAATCTATCTACTTACGCTCAAGGCATTTCTTGGTGTAAGCGTTCGCCAGAGTGCCTCTCCATCGCCTTCTAAATCGAATTCAGTCAGACTGATAGTCATTTCGCCTAGTAATTTATCCCTGGAGATTTTTTCGTGGCCATACAACCTAAACCTGAGGCCACTTTCGTGTAAATCACTCTGAGGAACTCGACTGAATGTAAATGTCTCGTGAAAGTTCGGATTTGTGGCTGGTTTTGCTTTTGTTTTAAATCGTTGCTTCTTTGAAGGTAGCAGTACAACACGGACTTGAACACTGCCCGCACCACCGCGCTGTTTCGTAGGGACATCCTCGGCGCGAATAACAGTCACCGCTAACTTCTCCGCTGTGGGGGCATAACTTGCAGAAACTTGCAATCTCCCAGCTGTTGAAAGAAACTCCTCTTGACCGACATCAATTGCTTCGCCATAGGCCGATACAGCGCGTCTAGCACCGGCTGGGCTATATTCACCGTCCGAATATTTGCCGTACCCATAAACTGAAGCACTATCGCCAAGAGCCAACTCGCCATCCGACTTGCTGCCGCTTGTGTTAAAGCTGCTTCTACGGCTTGTAGCTTTCGAGGATGGCCCAACATAGTCATCATCTGTTTCAGTGCCGTAAGCTTCACCAAGCTCGGCGTATCCTTTCTCGTCCGGTCTGTCATCCGGTGGTTCGGTCTTAAAAAACATTCCAGCTTTCAAGCACTGGTATAAGACAAGTAAAAGAAGGCAACAGCCGCCGATAACCGCCATAAATACTATGGCCGGGACTGGTACTGAAAAAAACACGAATAGAATAAAACCGATTAGCAAATATCTTGAATAGAACGTGAAGATAACATTGGGTAAAAAGTTAACAATTTTATCGATTGTACATACATCCCATAGTGGCCTTCAAAAACCGTACGGCGAGAACGATAGACTAAAATTTAAACATGCTACTAAAATGTTACGCCCCGCAAAAGGAGATTGGGAATCGCTGTCATTTGGTTTTTGATCGACATCATGAATAATTTATTTCGACCAAGCGTGCGACTGCTAGAATCAAAACAAAGCCAGGTGGTTGTTAATTCTATGCGAAACGAGGAGCTTTTTGGAACTTTATCTGTTACTTATCCTCCACAAATGAAAGAGGAAAGTTTTCGGCAGATTTTAGCCGAGGAATGCTTTCAAGTTCAGGTGCTCTTTTGAATTTAAACCTGACAAAAAAAATAAATAAATAAAAAAATGGAAGGCGCAGTTAACACTGTTATTTTCATTGGCCGAAAGGTAACTTAGTCGCCCTACATTTAGTTTTAACTTAACCAATACTAATTATTAATAATTTGCTACTGAAATTTCATTGATCGACTATCAATGGTGAAAACCATTCGGGATGATTTCCATATTTTTGGTGATTTGGAGTAACGCCTTGGGCAAATTTTGTTTTCACACTATACCTACTTTCCGTTTATCCGGTTAATATTAGATATCACTCAATTCACCGTTTCAACTTTCCTTCAAGTTGTTAAAAAGCAAGTTTGCTGTTGACCAAGAGTAAAAAACCAAAACCTTAGCGGACAAAAGTGTAGCGGTTTTCGTGCTTTCGTTTGAAAAATTTTCCTTACTCTGTAGAGCTCCTAATTGCACAAGGTGGCACCAAGTTATTTCCTTAAAGGCGATAACAAGGAAAATTCATAATTCCTTTAATTACCCTTTGCATTTTCTTTGAAAAAAGCTGCTAAGTTTTCCCATTTTGTGGTAATTTTTTATAAAAAACGAGCATTGTTATTCATTTTCGTCCGTCAGACATGAAACATGGTTGACGTTCTATGCATCACGACAAAATAACGATTTTGGAATTCAAGATGGCTTGCTCAGTCAAAACAGAGTGTATGTTTTGCGTCTTTTTCGGAAAAAAATAATGTCTTCATCAGGAGGTCCGATGTTTTTTGAACTCTTTTTCAGACCCTCCTCCAACGCTTGGTCGCAAGAAGTCCGGGTACGGGATCTACAAACTGGTTTGAGGGTTCTCTGATGTTTCCTTCTTGAACTCGTCACCAGACCCTTTTCCAATGCTTGGCCGAAGGATGTTTGGGTACAAAACCTACAGGCTGCCCCTGACAACATTTTGTGATGACCACTGTTAGGTTCATATTTGACAGGCGTCCTGATTCCAGCTGAGATCAGCAATGTCAGAACCAATAGAAGTATTATGCACTTACTGACTTTGTGGGAGGGCGAGACGGGAAAATATTTGGCTCGAGGTCATGACGTACGTCACGTTCTCGGAAAATGCAGAAGAACCGTATGAGTGCAGGGCCGCACGCCTTTTTCTGGACTGGCTCGTGTCAACCCGTTCGGCTCTACGCACGTCAGCTTTCGCTTTAGTTTTCTATGAGATTGTGCGCGCGGGACTGAACAGGTCATATGATAAATGGACTTATTTTCTCTTATCCACACTATGGATATACATATCGCTTCTACAAACCCCTCCCCTACTTCCCGCGTACCACACGACATACCTAGACGCAAATTTGTTAACTTCATTTTCATTTTGAACCATATTTAGTTTTCGTGCGAGACACCACCTTGATGCAACCCACATGAAGATATTGCACAACCAAACACAGCCCACAATGGGTCAACAGCATCTGTGCAAAAAACAGGCTTCCTGTCACATCTTCAAATCCTTAAGTTCCTTTGCTGTCATTAAAGAGCATATTGAAAGAGCTTTCACTGTAGTCCATAACTGTTTATTTACCTGGAGGGAAGACCATTCTGAATGTGCCTTGCCAATTGGCTGATATCAATCTGCACAATCGATGTCTCCTCTGCAGCTTCTCTCAGCATATGTCCCTGTGTACCCCGGAGAAAATTTCAGTTGTGATACATCATAGCAAATACTAGTTTTTGGGAAGCACCCCAATCGCCTTTGAGTACATTATAGTTACGGACAAACAAAGTATAGATAAAGGATATATGAACAAAAGATAAAATATAAAGGAAATTGATAAAAGGCATCTATCGATTCAATGTAGACCGCGCTATTTGAGAAAGAACCTCTAAAGTTTAGTCAATTATTTTTCCACTGACTGTTTTGCCAAACGAGGAGCAACTGTAACGAGGTGATCATGATTCAGGTAAAGTATATCTTTCTAACGACCGCACCTTTCCAGTTTTCCTTCATTACCGTCTTAAAAGGCGTAGAGTTTTACTAACTGAATCGTGTACAATGAAATTTATAGATAAGACTTAGAAAGAATCAAAAGTTGGGGGGCGGAATCATGTAACTCTGATACGATCGCTAAACATGTCAGTTTGTCCCGGCTTCTCACTGTTAATTTATCGAAGATGTGTTGTGGTGGGTAGAAAAAGCCAGGCTTTATAACATGGAGCAAAACTGATTTAATGGTAGAACAGTCGCGACTTCAATGAAAAAGACTCGAACTTCTGCATACCGAAAATCGATTCTGAATGAAAAGAAAACAAAAAAAAACAAAACAAACAAACAAACAAACAAAAAATCCTCATTCTGTTCAAGACTCGGGATGATTCTAATATTTTAAAAGGGTTATTTCCTGTTTTACCGTTAATTGTCAAGGGGATATTACTGGTAAGGTTTAAAGTGCTGTTCTCAGCAAATCTATAATTGTATTTTTTACCGATTGATCACAGATTCTGCAGAATTCTGAGGACTGCTACCTAAACCATCATAAACCCCACGCCATTGGCGACAATTCGCGATGAGGTGTTTGTAGGGAAAAAGCTGCCAATAGTTTTTTGCAGTTCCCTCTTATCAGTTTAGTAAGAAAATTAGTAAAGCTCCCACAGAACGGATTGGAAATTAATGATTATAAGAAGGAAACTTTTAGCTGGAATATCAGCATTTTGAACTAAAGAGAACATTTGCGTGAGCAGAAAACAAAAAAGACTATTTGCGGTGATATGCGTAGTGGTGTTTAACAGTGAACGTAAATCAAATTACGAGGTCAGAAAAATATCTTACGTTATCAACTCAATCACTTTTTAGAAATCCTTTCATTTTAAAGTTGAGTTTGTAATTCATCTCTTTGTTGTTTTATTTCAATCAAAACGTTTGGTGCTGAATATGGAAATATCGAGGGCGTCACTGAAGTAAATAAAATACAGTCTTTGTAAACCATATGAAAAGATCCTTTTGTATAACTGATCACGACTGATGTTTGATGATAATAAGAATCTAAACTTATTTCAGCCAACTGCTAATTAGTTAACGAGACGCCATGTGGAGACCAACTGTTCCCGTATAACCAATCACGCGTTCATCTGCATTGTACGGCACGCTCAACAAAACCATCAACATTATCACTCTCAAAAACGATTCCTTTAATAGATCCAACCCCAGTTCGACTTGTTTTCCTCGTGTTTATAAAACATAACTCGTTTTTTTTTTCGCTGCACTGATTGATTGGGCTTACTATAGCAATTAGTAGACTGTGTTTAATAACATCTTTGGCAAACGAAAAATATCAAGCTTCTTGGAATTTTGTGGGCTGTTTGTCTCTGATGGTAGATCAATCATATCTAATTTTAGAATTTTTAACTCAGATAATTTCATTTTGTCATCATATTCTTAGTCGGGTTTTTCGTGAATCATTCTCTTGATAATCCATCGAACACGCAAAAAATATACTGCTACAACCACGGGTGGTTCGATTCTCTTGGGATGACAACCTTAAAACTCAACCGGCTCAAGACCTTTGCGTGAAATTTCAATCACGCCGGGTCGATCTAATCCCTGATATAAAACAGCAAAATTAAATAAAGAAAAAGAGGAAAAAAAAAAAGAAAAACGAACGCACTATTGCTTGTTTCAAATAAATTGTTAATTAGTTATGTCGTGCGACTCAATTTTCTTGTGCCTAAGTTAGGACGTAAACCTGTTTTCTGGCCAAGAAATCCAGCTCCTATACATCTCGTTCCACATCGTAACATGGTTCATTTATTTTGACTTGGTGTTGAATTTTCGGTAGTTTTTAGTCATACCATACAAGGAAAGCAATGCTTGGTGTCTTCATCCCACGAGTCGCCCGTCTACATCAGTATATATTTTAACACGAAACAATCTTGCGCGCAAAAAACAGAATTCGTTTACCTGGTAATTTTCAAATAATGATGTTCGTTACAATTATTTTTCCATGTTTTCTTCCAAAGCTGGCCCCAGTCAGTAGAACTCAAACAGACATCTGTACTGCGAGTTAATCTCTTGCGATAAATAACAAATTGCTTCAGTGAAGTCGACCAATAGTACAACAGTTTGGTCGCTTCGTACCAAACTAGAATATTAATAATGTTAATTCAGAGTCTAACAAAGAAGTGGGCGAGAACAAAAAATAAAGCAAAGCTAAAAAAAGTAATTTCTGCAACAGTTTTCCTCTCGCAAAGCTTGCTAACTTTTCCGAAACGATAAATGGACCCAGGAATAAGTTTTTAGCCTAGACAAGCAAATGTTGAAGGTAAATATAAACTAACCATTCAATACAGGGTTACACTGCCATGTTTAGTATGCACTTTGATAAAGCATACCTTTACAATTTGGGTGGCTTACCCAGCCGATATAATCCATTGACTTACAATTCACGAAATAATTATATGTCATGCTATATCTAGGGCGATCAACTGAAAATATGTCTAGATCAAAAAATAATTACCATTTTGAATTTATCACTGTAAGTAACTCGCACAAATATTCCTTACCTGCTGACTAAGTTACCCTCAGTTCTGAATAAAGTCTATGTAAAACAAATGCAATTATGCATCAAGACTTTGCATTCTACTATTGCGTAACTAATTTGCATTTTTCCCGGCAGAATTTCAAATGCCGTGGAAAACTGTGACATTTAACTTACAGTGCCTTTGTCTTTGAATTCATTCAGGACCCGGACAGGACCCACAATTCATTGCTAAGAAATAGCAGAACAAAATTGATGTAGAACTGTACGTCTGTTTATCTGGTGAAATACCCCAGAATTGTAGCTGTAAACTGCGGCTATTATATATTGATTCCCCCTTAAACCACATGTTCAATCTTAGAGTAGGGGGTTTGCATATTGTGAACCGCTGACAAGACTGCTCAGCAATCGGAGAGAAAGAGCCAGGAGTCCAAACTTAGTTCTAACTGGAAAAATGTCTTTAGCTGTGCAAAAGAGCTTAGAAAATTTTCTCTTGAAATTTCTATTGAAAAAAATCTACAATAAAAAAAGATCCGTGCTAAAATTCAAATGATCTCTTTATTTACAAGAAGACAATCTTCTATGATTTTCAACAAAACATTATTGCTTATTTATTTTTATATGTACCTCAGTGTTTCTTAATTTCAACTTAATTAAGGAAATATTAATAACAATAAAAAGACCTCAATACGGCTGGTATCTATAGAAACCACGGTTGTCCACGGGTCTTTTAAGAGCAACAGGTCTTCTTCGGAACTGGTCCGGGTGGAACATGGGCCCTAAAAATGAAGAACGCTCAGATAACTGGTCTGGTTTGATTGCTGATTGTCCATAGTCAACTGTGATTGGTCGGCTGTTTGCTTTAAGTTTTTCTATGCAGATTCCTAGCCCTGGGTAAGAAAGACGATCAGCCTGTCTCCGGTAATTTACAGGGGACTGGGTCGGGATCTGTGGTGGCTTTTCAAACTGGTTTGACGGGTTTGGGTGAAAGTCGGACGGAGTCTTTTTCTCTTCTTTTCGTGACTTGGCTCGTCGGTTTTGAAACCAATACTGAAACGAAAAAAGGGAAAAAAGTACGTTAATTAGCTAATTTAAATATCATTCAACAACAAACATATGAAACATATGTGTGATATGTTTGATATGTCTCTCATATACGTTAAATATCATTGCTTGAGAACGGAAAGCTGCAGATCTTGTACATGTATCTTGATTTTTCTGCAAATGACCATCACACGAGGGGAACAGACCAGACATCAGTGTAAAATTAAAGTGTTAAGTAACTCACCCTCAGACTTCTGGCCGTGATCCCAAGCCTCTTCACCAGGTCCTCTTCGTCTTCAGGCGTCAAATATGGCCGCCGCGCATACGCTCGTTCCAGTTCCCATACTTCAAACATCGAAAAGGTTGTACGCTGTCGTTTCTTCTTCGCCTTCTTTTCGGATTGTGTTGGCAATCGATCGGGTTCACTGTCACAGCCCCTGCTATCGCTACAGCTGCGTCCAGCGAGACTGGAGTCGCGGCGGCACTCAGTCAAAGCTGTTGAAAGAATGGAAGAGATGATTCTTATGAGCCTGCATTTTGTTGAATAACCCACGATTTTTACTTGAAATAGTGCCCTGTGAATGTGAGGGCACTATGTCAATTGGTCACTCGAAATAATCGAGAGATCTCTGATTCGATTTTGAAGTAACGACTCTACCCCTTTACCGTGAAGAGCTTCCTTATAGAGTGCGTTAGGTTAACAATGTTTTTCTCGCCATTTAACGGCAGGGGTATACCACACATCAAACACTTCAGATCGGTACGTAACAATAAATTGATTTAAAAAAGAATTAAGATTTAACTTGAAAAACAATCATCGCATGATCCTCAAAACGAACTTTGCTCTGTTAGCTACACAGCTAAAATTAAAACCACGTGGATATTTACCAACATCATCTTATTGTTCTTTCACGCATTTTATTAAGTTAAGTAATAAAACACGAAATAACCCTTTAACTCCCAAGATCTGATTGTGAATTCTCCCCTCTAGCTGATACATGTTTCCTTGTAAATTGGTTACAAGAATTTGGTGTTCAATCAAGGTACCAACTTCTTACTGATGAGCTTGTGGATTCTCATTACCTGTTTGCTGGATCGTGTATGGATATTATAGAGAGAAGTTACATGTTGATCACTTCTGGGAGCCAAAGGGATAAACTTACCGGTGGATGTCGTCTCCTGATCTGTTTCACTGCTCTTCAAACCCAAGATTCTGTTAATGGAGAAGTCAGTCATTATTGACCGCGATGATACTGGCACCAAACACGCGACATGGATTGAAGGACTGGAAAAAAGTTCGCGTGATTTACTTGAATGCGCGGACTCCTTGAGAGAAATTGCTGGGGCAAAGGAACGGCTTTCCATAGTTAGCTGAGCTGACAGCGATGTAACGATAACTGAATGAAGATTCCATACAACTCAAAGCCTTATTTATACTCGGAAGGCTGTCACTGTAACAAAACAACATAGCGGTGCGACAAACAGACAAACAAATCGTTTAAATTGTTACATGTCAAAAGCGGTATTAACAGACGTTCTTAATGATAACACACTCACACCGCTCTTTAGCGGCCGAAAGAATCAAAAGGTGCCCGTCTATTTCCGGTGCACCTAACAAGAAAAATAATGGGAAAGTTTGTTAACTCAAAAGTTGAACACCTCGTGCAAAAAGCGCGTTGTGTAGCACAGCCGACAAAAGCGGAAATGTTTGTCAAGAAAGAACGTTGGTTGTTTTATTCCAACAATATTGTGATCCTCTACGGGAACGAACAACCCATGCACTAAAAAGTTGGTAGTATGCAGTCAGTTGGTAGTAGGACCTAACTAGTATATGGGAGAAACAGCTTCAAACCTCCGGCGAGGCCTAAAATTTTTTCAGCCTTTTTTTCTGTAATCGTTAAAATTGCAGCTACGTGGGAGGGATTTTTTCTTGACTAAATATTTAGCAAGTCGCATGAATAGTTTATTGTTGGGCTTGGCCGACAATAGTGAGAAGACGTGTTTAGGTTGAAAAATTCTCATAACTTACTTAGTGTTTGGCTCGGCCGACAACAGTGCTTAGCGCGAGTTTTCAACGTGCAAATGTTGAATAAGTCGCGTAGCCAGTTCCTTGTTTGGTTTGGCTTACAAAAGCGAGAAATTTTGTGAAGTTCGAATGTTGAATACGCCGCGTGAATAAGGAATCGTTTGGCTCGGGTAACATTAGCGGGAACGTTTGTTAAACGCTGAATAAGTCCCGTAAACAGTTTATTGTTTGGTTCAGCCAGCAACAGCGCGAAAGTTTCAACTTGAATATTGAATAAGTGGAATATACTTCACTGTTTGGTTAGGCCGACAATAGAGCGCGAGCATTGGATAAGCCTAACTGTTTGGTTAGGCCGACAATACACTGCGAACATTGGATAAGCCGCGGAAACAGTTTTTACATCCAGAAAAAAAATTGATTACACAATTAAAGAAGAAAAAAAAAAACCGCGTATATACGCAGCCGTAGAGTTCACTTGTATACAGGACAGGTCTGTTAAATTAAACTCAATAAAGGTACTATCAACAAATACTCTTTGAAGCTTTAGAAAAGCTATCCACATTTATTTTGCAGCTGTTAAGCTTTTTACTACTAAGATCCAAAAGTCAATCCTTCGCTAATATTTTTCTTCTCACCCCTTCTCTGCTTAAAAATGCATCGATGTCGTTAGGAAAAGTTCTCTTTGGCCACACATTGGAGCAACAGGATAGCAATGTCGGAAAACATTCTAAGGAAATCCTTTTTAACAAGTTCTTTGGAGACAGAGCTTTTGTCTGACTTTACTAAACAACAGTTAGTTAGTCAAGATGACAAAGCAGCCGCCCTTGCCATTTGTTCGTATCCAGATTTGAGGAGAAAACGAAATGTGGTGTTTTTAGACAAACCAAGGTTTTTCAATTCTTCTCCGTCAATCAGTGACTCCAGGGAAGGAATAAACTCTTGGAGTTGAATACCTAAACAGCAAAATCAATAATCACATCAACATCTATTAAAAAGAATACGATGACCTAGCCAGCCCAGGTAGCCACGCCTCTTTCGCCCACACATTACGAAACTCACCTCTCAATTATCAAGAAACAAAAGAATAAATTAACAAAAACTTTTCACGAAAATGCGCAACATCACCTTGATTGTAGGCCAGTTCGACAGTTTTGAAGAAAACAGTATTTCTAACAGTCATAAGGGGGTCTTTGGTGGGCAGCGAAGGCCAGCTGTTGACATAAAAAGAAAACATGTGGCTTCTGATCGCAGGAGAACCTCAAAGCACAATAACACCTTACTCGTCTCTCAGTAGAGCTTTGCGCCAAATGTGAAGTTTCGTGGCTGTAGCGTGCTCCCGATCATAAGCACCAGTCTGTAGACAGATTATAACACAAATTTCTCTTAATTTTTCACACATTTGTCAAAAGTTGAGCCTAATTGAGGATAAAGAATATCCCGAAAACTTAGCCATGGCCACTATCATTCCTTTACTACAGCAATAACGCTAATAGTGCAATAATTGCCATGATGAGTGTCGAAAGTAGTACATTCAAAGCGATTACCTGTACTGCAAGATGCAGAATGTCCAGAGCTTTTTTGAAATCGTATTCATTGGCTCTGGGATTTTTATCTCCAATATGGAACTGCAAATAAATATAAAAAGTTAAAAGTCATACCCTAGGAGAAAAATAAGCAAACTTGATCAATATTTTCATAGGTCTAAGTCCTCAAGAAATGCTTAAAATTTTGCACATTTGTGCAAAGCATCGTTAGTTTAACATTCTACTCTCCGAGCATAAATAAATAACAAAACTTTTGTAAAATGATCACAATATTTTCTTTACCTCGATCAGTTCTGAGGGTGACAAGGGAGCCATGGAATCAAGGTCTAATCCAGCGTGCTACGAGAAGAACAGTAATAAGATTCAAGACAATCAGAACAAGAAAACTGTAAAATCACAACAGTTCGAACATCTTTATGTATGCTTGGTAACACGTTTTCATGTTATTGACTAAATCTTGCGTGTTATCTAAACAACTAATTAAAATAAAGAAAAAAGAAAAACAATTGCTGACGAAAGGAGAACAAGATTTTTATAAAAGAAAAAAAATCCCCGACTACTTAAAACTACGACTGACACAAACTTAGCAATAACTGTCTTACCTGTAAGACTGCAGATGGTAGCGTTTCTTGATGAAGTATGATATTATGTTCGTTGATTATTTCTAAAAAACAAAAAAAACAAAAACAAAAAAAATCAAACGAACAAAACGCATTAATCCACCGGAAAAGAGGAACTTTCTCTTGACATGATGATTCCCACATGCAAAAAATGTCTTGCAAGGATACCAAGAGCTTGTATAGAAAACCGAACCAGCACCCTGATGGCGAAATATTAAATAATCGTATACATAATTACGCCCTTTGAACTCCTGTCTGGGAAGTCATAGAGTGCATGTGTGAAGAGGGAAATTAGCCTACGAACAGGCTCTGTAGGCGAAGAGGAAAGCTGGAAGAAAGTCGGCCAAGGAGAGGGTTGGGAAGAGGGAGCGGAGCCTCTTCAAATGGTAAAGGGAAATGAACTTGCCTTCCAGCTCTGCTTCATTGTTTTCATCCGATGCTAAAAGAGCCAGTTTACTAAGACTCAAAAGTGTCTGCAAAAGCAACATCACACGTATCAACAACGCATTCAGCAAAAAGTAGAGAGAAGTTAGTTCGAAATTATCCTGGAATTGTAAAAGTGAGTTCGCTCTTAGTACGGGGGGTGTCTCACACGCAGTGTTGATTCAGATTGAATACCATCCTTATGGGAGACTCTAATTGGGCGTTGGAGTCTGAAATTGGACAGAAGCCTCCGAAATGAGATGAAAGTGTCCAGAAGTAGACAAAAAGTGTCCGAAAAAGTCCGAAATGGAAGGAACCGCCTGAAAACGGAAGCGAAGTAAACCCCGCTTCGAACAAGCGGAGCGCATGGAAAGTGACGAGCAGAGGCTTTTAATCAATTCTTTTAAATCACACCAATGAAAATTTCCTTGCAAATCAATTTAATCAGTATTACGATCGACACAAACCGGGAATGGTTCGCCAAAGATGCGACGATGGTAAAATTACCCTACATGGCCGTTGTCAATCCAGGGGATTTTCTTCGCGTTACCGGTATAACGAGGAGCGTGTTCCATGTTCACATGGTACAAACCGTGAATGACTAGAGTCACCAAAACAATCTCTATGAATACCTTTTTCTTCGTCAAATAACACGTCTCTTCACTTGCCAAACCCTTTAAAGTTCCATGTGCCTGACAAACAAGAATCTTCCTTTAATCAGAATCAAACCTGGTGATATCAATCCGGGTACAAAAATTCTTCCTTTAATGTTGAAGGCTACTGGGTTTTTCCCGACCATAATAAAGAGCTTATACACACAACTGTTTAAAACTTGATGAGTCTCCTTTATGAATATTTTTATTACATTTGATTCCTTTAGCGGAGTGATGCGGGACTCACCTGATAGAAGGACTTCAAGTGAATATCATGAAGCCAGGACAAATGGTGATGAGACGAAAGGAATCGCGACAAATCACCGTGCTGCTATTCAGGTACATGTATTGTCATCAACTTTTGACGCTCTCCTGGGAGAAGTACACAGTCTCAGAACTACCATGTAACATAGCATTTACATGCGTGTTATTTTGGATTGGGTGTTTTTCCGCGTTTCGTGAAAAAACATTTTGCAGTTGGAGATGAGTGAAATTTCTGCTAGGATATCACATCCTTTGCCACGTGAAACCTTAATTCTCACGAGTGATCAAGACAGAATTTCTCCTTACAATATCAACACAACATCAAACAAATGAGAGATGAGAATAAAATGAAAAATAAGAATATCAATTAAGGAATTATTGGTTGATTCAAAAACAAATTCTCCAAACTAACACTATAAGAACTGTATGACAGACAGTTAGGAGAGTTACTAATGAGATCTGGGAGCAAAAGGCTTAAAAAACAAACAATACTGTACCTTTATCCATGTACCACTTGAATACGTAATCTGAAAAGCCCTGAAAGCAAAAGTGTACATGAAAATCCACAATCCATCCTGGAATTCCATCATATAGCTTAGTGCCTTTGGATCTTTCACCCTTGAGAATGTTTTGCTCTTAAAGTGGTATTCGCATCACACAACGTACTTGACATTTAAGCTGTCATTTACATTGTTCTCTGAAGGAGGTTTGATTAACATACCCACCTGATCTGTAAACTGTGTCATGTACTTCTGCAGAGTTCCTTGATCACCAGCTGATTCACACAGTTCAATTAAAACCCCAAAGTCGTGATACTTCTCTGCAAGGGACGCCGCGTGCGACCTCTGACCTTGATGAACTGAACGCATCAACAATACCGTTGGTATCCTCATCACAAAAATTATTAGAATTGTTCTTGTGATTAACATTCTGCTTATTACTATCATCGTCACTTTTGTCACCATTATTATTACTATTATTATGATTGCAATTATTATTATTTGCACAAAACCAGGAGAGTAGCATTAAAACATCACCTAATGGTAAAATAACAGTCCTTCTATCTTGTTCAAACTCCTGATTGACTTCGTCAAAACGACTCTTTATTCCTGGACAGTTCCTGAAATTCAATTACGAACACCTCCATTGTAGCGAACACAACCATCCAAAAACAAACAAGCAAACATGCTGGGAAGATATGATCAATTGTAAAGGAGAACAAAACAGCAAAAGAGTGATTTTTGACTAAGAATGATTTACCGTAAGGACTGGAGTTGTTTGACATAACCATCCAACAAAATATCAGCTAAATCAACCATATGTTGAACCAAAAGTGACTTAGCCTGACGATAAAACACAACAAACTCCATTTTAGTGCCGTAAACTGCTGGAGAGAGACTAATTCAAGTAACTGGACAGTTTTTCTTCCCCACTGTTCACAAATTACTTGCACAATTAACATATCAGTTGATGCCAAGCTACATAAGAAATAATAAAATCACAAATTATTCCAAAAGCTTGTGAAAAGGTTTGCAAAATCTGCACCAACCTGTTTTTCAGTGGTTTCTCCCATTCCCAGCTGAGCTGTTAATTTGATCTGTGGTACAGGGTAAAATTTTTCAATTTTATTCTTAATTATGAGTTAATGACACAAAATAACAAGAATAGAAGGGACAAAACAAAACGGTTTTTGTAGTAAATTTGTATATCCACCTGTTTTAAGAGCACTGCTCGTACTCCATCTGGTCCGGAGGTTGCTGAAAAGTTAACATTTGAGAATTTTCATCATATTTAGTAAAAAAAACATTTTCCATTATGTTTCCAAAATGGAGAATGTGTGTATTAAGAGATCTATTCACAGGACGTCTCATGAAAATTGTTCATACATAAGTATATAACATTTCATATAAAACCCAATGAAAAAGACTTGCTTAGCATCCTCCTCAAAATGGAAATGAATAACTAATTATCAATTCTGCCCTCTATCTTCCACACAACCCCTTGTAAGTAAGCCATAAGAATATGGTGTTCTATTACACGACTCAGGCAGTCAGAGGGCCAATAACTAAAATCAACCAATCAAAATGCTCTATTGCAGGTCAATATTCTCTCAGTATTGGACTAGGCACTGTCCCAAATGGTCCCGAATGATATCGCACTTGTGTCCCTTTGAACTTCAGTCGTATAACAAATCTTAACCAACCTTGCTCGGGATCGTACTGGAAGAATATCGGCCCTCGGTCTTTTTTGCACGGACGTCACTGCGCTCGGTCCGTACTGTCAAGATCTTGGGCTGATATTCTCCCAGTACAGCCCTCGCACTTGGTTAATAAGATATATATATATCAAGATAAGAACTTCTCCCTGATAAGCCAGAGTATCCTTGTTACCTGCGAATATTACCTCAAAATAATGTATGCATTTAATGGGGTGAAGTTAAACCAAAGGTTTTTTTTCCATCCCTTTCAGCAGGATGGCAACTGGTTTTCACAGATGGGCAAAACTTTCCTCTAAATGGTCAAAGCAGGTGGGAATTAAACTATCCTAAAAATTTGTTGGTTTGCTCAGAGCCTGGCCCTTGATGAAACCCCTGTACATGTTTATTATTTCTAGGAGTTAAGGGGTTAACTTGCCTGTCCAAGGCACATGCTCAAAGTTCATTTCTGTTGAAGTGTTGCTAGGTTGATAAGTTTCAAAATTATCCTGTCTGTATTGCCATGCCTCGTACAGCATTTCCTAGAGATAAAACAGACTTTTATTTCATTATAAAAGACATAGCAGCTAGACATGCATTATCTTCTTGGACACACTGGAAGATAAACATTCAATGAATAACATATGAAACAAAAACACCAAACAAACATAAGAAAAAAAAACATAGTTCACTGGTCAGTTCCTTAACATGCAGCAATGGTGAGGCATAACTCTTACAAATAAGATCTTAAGTTCTCAACATGTGAGTCATGCACAAGGTTCTCAAATGCAAAGTTAAACCCTTTTACTTTCAAGATTGCATTTAGTAATTCTCCTAAGTATCTGCCATACAATTCTTATAATGCTTAAAGTTGAGAGAGTTTGAAATTGGATCAGCTAACAATCCCTTACTTTATATTTTTTTCTTTATTCCCAACACTTGTCAGCTTGATTTTGTATCAATATTGTAAGGAGTTAAAAGGTTAATTTTTTTTTAACAATTCTATTTCCTCACCTTTAATACTGTATTTACTGCTGCAATAGTTTGTGGCTGAGAAGAAGTTGACCTCTGCTTTACAATTAGTTGTTCTTCATATTCCAGGAGACATTCAAAGATATCAGAGATCCTTGACACCTATCAGGCAAAAGAAAGAGTTGAAAACAAAACACTCTTGTTCACATTGCACAAGATAATAGCTGAATGCTCAAATGTTGACATTTGAAATTAGGATTCTGGTTTCACTGAAGGAAACTGCCCATGCACATGGATTTAAATCAGGAATTTAATTCCAGGGTCTGGCCATGTGCTTTGAATGCCACCATCAGCTCTGCTCAGAATTGCCCTAAGAAGGAATCCCAACAGCCAATGAAAGAGAGGCCACCCTGAGGAAACTTAGAGGAGAACAATGGAAAGGGGGAGAGAGGAAGGACATTGCAGCCACTTGACCAACTGGCAACCAAGAGAAAGCAATGGTATTCTCTGGCTGCTGACTTTAATGCATAGACAAATAAAGAGGACTCATTAACTAACTAACTAGTAAGGTAGTTTTATTAGCACTATTGTGGCAATAAGTCATTAGCTGACTGTGAAAAATTTTTCACAAAAGATTTATAAATGTTAAAAAAACACTTGATAAACAGCAAGTTGTTGCATTTAGCAAACATGCAGAATTGTGTGTTAAATGACTATAATTTAGAACACACCTCCCTAAAGAACAAATCCTGTTCGGTGAGCCCTTCAATTTGTGACCTCACTCGCCGTTTCTTCATCACCAATCCAATCGTCCCATCCAATACACCTTGATACCTGATATCAACCACAGTTTGTCCAATTAAGAAACACACCAACACAAATAATATCCTCCAACACAAAAGCCTTGATTCAAATTCTAAATTTTCAATCTGCAAACGACAGACTCACTTTTTATCAATCTTGCACAAGGCTGCAGCAGCTTTGAGCTTCTCACCATGTTCACAGATAAGATGACATGTCAGTAATTGTCCCTCCTTTGATGTAAAAACTCCAAGCTGTGAAGAACATTTAACTTTGGATAAGTTCCCTCACACTTTTTATTTCACAATTGCAATTGCTGTCATTGTCAAACCTTTTCCCATAAGCCAACATTCTTTAAAAAGTCAACCATAAAGACGTGGGCTTTTAACTTGTCTTCCAGCTGATGAAAAATGATCAGCGAAGTTGAAGCAGATAGTCCACCTGGTGGGAAAAATGGGCTTTACATCAGATCCAC